TCTTTGTATTTTCAGGTGTATATTTAACACAATTCTATTCTCGATGATGAAAAATCAAAAAAAAAATAGAATGGATTTTTAATTTAAAATCAATTTTTAATTAATTAGGATGATTATTTTCTCCTTTTAAATAACTAGTCAATACATTAGTTTTATCTCTTTCTAATATTTCATATAAATTAATCTTTTCATCATCTTCTAATTCTATTGGGATATCATCATTTCTTTTAGTATGATCTTTAAAGGAATTTTAATTATTAATTGTATTAGTCCATATTTCAAGTAATGGTTTAACACTCTATTCATTTTAACCATCTTTTGCTGAATTACAATATCGTTTTGCTTCCATTCTAATTTCTTAAAATGCCCATTCTCTATATTTTAATAAATCCTTAAGTGGTAAATTATCCTCACAATTTTTAAATTTAATTTCATCTTTTGCAGTCCACTATGACAACCATGGTACTAATACAATATTTTATTTTCTCTTATATAATTATATATATCTTTTCATAGATACTAATTTTTTAGATGAAAAACTAAGATCCAATTTCTAACTCTTTTGCTTTAGAATAATTGAATTAATAAAATATTTCCACCATTCTGAATAACTATTTTTTATTTCTTTTGTAGGTCTTAGATGAAAATTATCTTAAATAATTTCTTAATTTGATAGTACCTCATTCAATTTAATTAAATAGTTTTTTTATTCCTTATTTAATTAGAATATAACAGGAGATTTAATTAATGCCTCTAAAATCATAATAGGTTGTGTAAGTAATTCATAATTTTTATTAAGAGTATACTTAATTTCAATATCTACTGGCATTAGAATCATTTGTATATCTTTCTTAGTAAGAACAGATGATGGATCTTTTTTTAATGAAATACTCAATTTATTGATTTGTAAAAGTTTAAATGTACTATTAAGATCATTGTTAAAGTTTTATTTGAATTCACTATCAGTTGCTTTAATAGATGCATCAAATTTAATTCTGAAAATAGTCTCATTTTCAAGTATTGAGAAATTGCAAAATCTAATATTAAACTACTTTATAATGATTGACATATTATTGAAAATTCCATCTACTATTTTTTAAATCCAATTCGGTGGTGATAATTTTTCAAAATATTTTGCCATTTATTCTTCCCATAACTTTAATTTATGCTTCTTCAAATTCTCTACTCCTTATTATTAATAATCTTTGTTTTGAGTAAATTTGTTGATCTCTTAAATTGTACAAACAAGCAGTTCTACTCCTTCAATGATTAATTCCGGTTAATGCTTTTTATAGTTAAGAGGCATCTGTAAAGGTTTAAACTTCATAAACTTACATTCAAAGTGATGGAATTGATTTTTCCATCAATAATATAGAGCGGGAATTTGAAATTAAGCAAAGCTTGTTTTTTGATGGACAAATTCTTTAATACAATATTGGTTGAAATTCCCAAAGAAAACTAAATTAATTTAGAATCAATTTACTTTAGCCATGTTATTTTATGAGAAATCCTATAAGTATTCTAATAGATAAGAGGACAGTCTTTTGATAAAATATTCTTCAATTTCTTTGGCCATTTATAATATAATTATTATCATTAAAATGTGATTGATTGTTTATACAAAATTTGATATTATGAACTTAACTTAGATTCTCTATTATTTAAGCCTATAAAAATATGAATGTATTTTGATAACTAGTATAAAATATATATAGATATTCATTATTCATTATTAATTATTCATTCATTATATAGAAGCTAACTTCTTTTTCTTAGGTTCATACATCTATAATTATTCTTTTTACCAAATAAATTATCTTTAATCTGCTGGAGTCATACGAAGTAAAATATGAGTCTATATTTTATAATTATCAATTTACCCTTCTAGTTTAATGTAACATTGTTTTACCCTCTAGATTCTCAACTACTGATTCATCATAATTAAGATTCATTTTATTCCAAGGATCTGCTTTATTCAAAATTAAAAAGTAAGCTATATTATTTTATTTATGAATCAATGCAAGATACAAAGGAGTTCTTCCAACAATGTCTTGAGAATCTGGATCTGCTCCATATTTTAATAAGATTTTTGCAGTAGATTCCAAACCTCTCATTGCACACCAATGTAAAGTAGTCATAAGCAAATGATCATATTCATAAACTAAATATTTATTATCATCAAGTAATTTAATGATCTATTTATCTTAACCCTATTTACACAATTAAAAAAAATGTTTAGATTAGGAATGTTCAAAAGGTTTAGATGGAAACACTTTATGTGATAAAAATTCTTTGGTTGTTAATTTGAGTTTTTCTAAATGTCTTAAATATTAAATTAAAGAAGCTCTAATAGTTTTATATTTATGTTTTAATGGAATATTTTCAGATGGGAATTTTTGAAAATTAAGTAATCCTCTTATTTATTTACTTCCATAGAGTTTGTTCTTGTATACTTATGTTATTTACATTAAAATCATCAATTTCAGTACCATCTCTATATTTAGAGAGTTGATTTGGACTATTAAATTGAGTAACTAATGGTTACTAAGGTTGATTTTATTTAGAGAGGATTTCAGATTTGAAATCACTTTTAGTGATGTCATTTATTAATTAATATTTTGGATCTATTGTTAAAGAATGAAATTTAGTAATTGTTTAATTTGGACGATAAGTTTAAGATGAAATCATTTATGATTATTTGGAGAGAATAGTTGGTATTTTTTTATTCAATTTAACTATAAATCTTTATGGTTTATGATTTAATTGTAATTTTTTTGTTTGCATAATCTAAGAGCCAGTAGGAGTATGTGTTTTTATTGAGCTTTTACAATAATAATGATTAGAAGTTGGAAGAGTTGGTGTTTGTCTAATATGAGTATGAATAAATGGTATATCACCCAATAATTGACTAAGCAAGATGGGATGATTCTAAGCATCTTGATGTTTTGGAATAAGAGACTTGAATTTTGTTTTTCTTGGAGTAGTTGGCACTGATGTATGGATCTTATCAAAGTTCAATAAGCGTATATAGTTAGTTTTGGAGAATCTATGTAAGTGAATATGAATACTGGTTTTCAGTCTTATTTCTTTTCATAAAAAATTAAATATAATAATAATGGATAAGGACATTGATGTAGACAAGGTTAATTATATCTCCATCATAGATCTTAGAGAAATTATTGGAAACCAAGGGAGCTCGTAATGGAAAACCAGTAAATCTCACAGAAAGTGAAATCAGATCATTATGTGTTAGAAGTAGAGAGATTTTCTTAACTTAACCAATGTTATTAGAATTGGAAGCACCTATTAAAATATGTGGTAAATCATTTCCTTTATATAAAGGTGATATTCATGGATAATATACTGATTTATTGAGATTATTTGAATATGGGGGATTTCCACCTGAAGCTAATTATTTATTTTTAGGTGATTATGTAGATAGGGGCAGACAATCTTTAGAAACTATCTGTCTACTACTTGCATATAAGATTAAATATCCAGAGAATTTCTTCCTGCTTAGAGGAAATCATGAATGCTCTTAAATTAATCGTATATATGGATTCTATGATGAATGCAAAAGAAGATATAACATTAAATTGTGGAAAACATTCACAGATTGTTTTAATTGCTTACCAGTATGTGCAGTAATCGACGAAAAGATTATTTGCATGCATGGAGGACTATCTCCAGAATTGACTAATTTAGAATAAATACACAGGATTATGAGACCCATTGAAGTTCCAGACACAGGGTTATTATGTGATTTATTGTGGTCTGATCCTGAAAAAGATATATAAGGATGGCAAGGTTATTTAAATTATTACCTATTTAGATAATGAGAGAGGTGTTTCTTATATCTTTGGAACAGATGTTATCACTAATTTCTTAAAGAAAAATGATTTGGATTTAGTTTGTAGAGCTCATCAAGTTGTTGAAGAAGGATATGAATTCTTTGCTAAAAGACAATTAGTTACGGTATTTTCAGCACCTAATTATTGTGGAGAGTTTGATAATTCAGGTTCTCTATAATTTAATTATTTTAGGAGCACTCATGAGTGTTGATGAAACGTTGATGTGTTCATTTCAAATATTAAAATCATAAGATAAAAGAAATGTTCCTTAGGCTAGACCAAGAACACCTAAATACGTTAATTGATATATATTTGAATAATATTATATAAAACAATCATTGCATCTTATCCATTAAGAATGTTTAGGATTAAATATTTATATATTAGATATCTAAATTATTATTAAAATATATATGTTTATCAAAAAATTCATTAATAATAGATATAAAAAGAATAATCATATTAAATATCTTTATTATATTTTAAAATCTACATCTTAACTTATTTTAATTTCCTTTTATAAATTAAATATAATAATAATAATAATAATAATAATAATATGGACACACCTCCATAAAATAATTACAAACATAATGTTGATGATAATTATAGACATGATCATTGTTAAAAATTTTAAACAAAAACTGGAAGTAAAATTAAATATTTTATTAGAATTGACTCAAAATTAATAAGCAAGATAATTTTAAGAAAAAGATCAACTCTTAAAGATGTAGAATGATTTAAGGGGACAATTAAAGTATATTGATGAAACGAATTGGATGTTTGAGGGATTGAACAATGCAAATGATAATTTTTGAATTTTTATATATTGTTAATCCTACTTAAATATTAATATATACTTATAAATTAGAAATACTCATAAATAAGTGTAATTTGTCTATTCTTATATATTGAATTTACTGTTGAGTTTTGTTAATATAAATAATTAAGAGAATATAATGAAATAGTCAGTTAATGATATGTAATGAAATTTTGAATATTTTATTTTCTATTTGTAAATTAAATGTATATGTTGACTAGTTTAATGAGTGAGAATAAAGAAACTTAATTGAATAGATGTGAATTAATTTAATTAGTTGAATATTATAGTAATTTAAAAGTAGTTACTTTGAATAATTTATATTTTTAATGGACTCATTATAAATACAGAAGTAACTTATGGTTGAGTAATTGAATAAATTAGAATACATGGATAAAATACTTCCTTTGCATAAGAATGAAGTATAAGCAGAGAAGAAACTGTAAGTTCAGATCAATAGTCTAAATTTCAAAAGAATTATAGAAGGGTAGGAGAATAATAAATTGATGGCAGAAATAGAGGAGTCAAAATTAGATGTTCAGAAGAGTAGACACAAAGCCTTTCAAAAATATTTTACTTCATTTATGACAGAGAAATAGCAGTAAGATGTCAATATTCTTGAATTCAATTAAAGTGATTTTGAAGTTTTTCAATAATTGAAGGAGAGATAAAGATAATTGGCATAGGAAGATCTGACAATAGCTAGATAGAAAGAGAAAACCAATTAGATATTTGAATAAAATTTGATGAAGAAATGGGATAGAGTTAGAAAAAGTATTATATTAAATTATTTTAAGAATTACGTATGATTGGTAGAATGAAAAGATTATATGATGAAGTAAAATTGTATGGTACAAGTTGTAGAGTAGAGACTTCAATAAAAAGACATGAAGTAATTTAGGAATTAGAATAAATGCTTAACAAATAGAATCAGTAAATAAGTAAGCCAATGCCATAGAAACACAGTAACAATAAAGTATATGAGTATAATAGAGCATTTGTTCCTACCAGATTCGATATTCAAGAAATATTGGCAATATGTTCTAATGATATTATTGATTTACACAGCCTTTATTACTCCAATTCGTTTAGCATTTATTGAAGAATTTAATATAATATGGTTTAGTTTGGAATTAATAGTAGATATATTATTCTTTTTGGATATCTTAATAACTTTTAATACAGCTTATTTTAATGAGGAAGGAGTACTTATAGTTGATCGTTAATAAATAGCAAATTAATATCTAAGAACTTGGTTTATATTTGATTTAATGGCTATATTTCCTACTGATTAAATATTTGAAAATGAAGTTCAAAAGTTATCACAATATTTCAAGTATGAATATTAATTAAAGATAATAATTATAGATTAACAAGATTACCTAGAATGTATAAATTGATAAGTATAAGCAGAATGTGGTCAACTGTTTAGAATTCTCAATAAAATAATGATTGTTTTTCAGCAATTCAAGATTTAATAAATTTGAATTCAACAACTGTAAGAGTACTTAAATTTTTTGGAACTGTTCTTGTTTGTGTACATATAATGGGTTGTCTTTGGTATCTAGTTGCTAAATTAAATTATTTTGGTCCTAATACTTGGGTATATGAATTAGATTTACTAAATAAAAGTGAATATGAATTATATTTAACTTCTATTTATTGGGCTGTAGCTACTATTTGTACAGTTGGATTTGGAGATATCCATGCCTTTAATGATAGTAAAGTATAAATTATATATAGCTGAAAGAATAGTCTGTATATTTTGGATGTTTTTTGGAGTTGGATTTTATTCATTTACTGTAGGTTCCCTTTCTACATTAATGGGAACTTTGGATACTAGAGAATCTCATCTATAGAGTAAAATAACTTTTATGGATGAGTTTTGTGAAGAAACTAAATTGTCATTATAAATGAAACATAAAATTAGGAAGGTTTTGGAATATAATTCATTAATAAATATATTCTCCTCTGCTGAAGTAGATGATTTTTTATCTGAAATACCTACTAATTTAAAATATCAAATTGCTTAAGCTATGTATGCTGGTCTTAAAAATAGAGTGTCTTTCTTTAAAAATAAGGATTCAGTTTTCATCTCAACATTAATTCCTAAATTATAACCATTAAAAATTAATGCTGGAGAATTTATATACAATAAAGGTGAATATCCAAATTAAGTATATTTTATTGTTAATGGAAGAGTCAATATGGTTATTGGTGTCTATTCAATTACATTTAAAACATATGTAACAGGTAGTTATTTTGGTGAAATTGAAATATTTGATAATAGTGCACGTTTTCATTCAGCTAGAGCTGAATTAGAATGTGAATTATTAGCAATTGAATAGGATGTATTTAAAAAAATATTGCAAGCATTTCCAGAATATTTTGAAGAAATTAAAGTTATTTCATTAGAAAAATTAAAAAGAGAAAAAGATTCAATTGAAAAATTATAAGATTTAACTGGATTATCATAAACTTCTGAATTTTTTAACAAAAAAAGAACTCAATCTATTTATAAATCAATTAAATAAAGAGAATCTGTTCATTTTATTGATAATAGTGAAGAATCAGAATAAGATATTAAATCTATGAGATCCAGCAAATTTGGTTTCTTTAAAAAGAAAACTAATCATTTAACTCCTGAAGAAACTTTTACTACTAGATTACATACTTAAGAAGATAATTATTAAAAGAATCTTGTTGGTTTAGAGAGTAGTCAATAATAAAATGAATAACAATAAAAAATAATAACATTATCAATTCCAGATTAAGTTAAAAGATAAAGTGAACATTAAATTAAATTATATGGAGAAATTCCTAATGAAATTTCATAATTTAATGAAGATCTTGATTAGTCTCAAAATTAAAAAAATAATCAAAGAATATAAAGTGAAGAACCAAATCGTCCTCCTAGAACTAAATAAGTTAGATATATTAGTCAAAATCTAAGATGTAGTCCAAAAAGAATTGAAAATAGAAAACCATCCATTTAAATAACATCAGCTATTGAAATTACTGATACTCCCTTAATCTCATCAGTGAGATCTAACTTTGTCAAACCTTCTATTAAAATTGATGAAGCATCTCATGAATCTGAAGGGTCCAATAAAAACTCTCCAAAAATGTCCATATTTTCATAAAATGCTTTATTTAATGCTTAAACTCCTTAAAATTCCTCTAGAAGAAATTCAATTTCATAAAAATTACCAAAACCATCTCCTTTTTAAAAATAACAATCAATATTTAAAACTGTTAGCAATTAATATATTGAAGCTAGTAAACTTAAGAATTTACCTAGATTGGGTGGATTTAGAAGAACATATAGAAAAGAAAGGGAAATTGAAGTCTTAGAAGAAACAATAGAAAATGAAGATTATACTTAATTACAATAAAAGTTAGTTGAATTATTAGAGAAGATTAAGAAATAGAAGGAAGAATAAAAAATAAAAAAATAAAAAATCTAATTCAATATCATAAATCCATTGCCTAAAAAGATTGTTTTGTAATAAAAAGATTCTATAAGTATTTCAGATTTACCAGATGTTGAAAAATAATAATTATCTAAATAAGATAGTAATAGTAGTGGTATATTAGAATGATATCACACATATATTTTCATCTCAACTTAATTATTTATTTATAAATTTTTTCATATTCTTCTTAATCTCCTTGTATTTTTTAACATTTCATAACATATACAGAATCACATAAAAGTGCTATTGCAAAAGTCATTACAAAATCACATTTACTTATCTTTAATTCAAATTTGCTCCTTTTTACATCATAATTTTATTATTATAGATGAGATATAATTTTTTAAGTTATTTTTTATGGATCTACAAAAATAAGTTAATTAAGATGATATGGTCCTTCATGTTACCTTATTACAATCAAAGGACTTTATGGTCTTTCATATGAATGCTAATTATTAAAATTAGGAGCTCTATAAACTGTAGATCTTTAAGGAGTTTTCAAAGTTCTAGGTTTTTATGGTGCGGGTGAACGATCTACATTTTCAAGGGCTCTTTGTTTAAATTACAATGCTTTAAGTTTGATTTATTCAACAGTAGGAAATAATGTTTCAGGTTTTTTTTCAATGCTTAGTGAAACCTACCTAACTCTAGAACTACAATCATAATGATTATAATTAAATTATGATTGATAGATTGGAGTATTATTTAATGATGTTTGAATAGATGGTCTATCTGGAAAGGGAATTTAAGCAGATACATTTAACTAATTGTTTGTAGTTATATCATTATCTTAAGGTTGATCATCTTGATTACTTTGAAATTGATTATGTTGTATTGGATTTATTTATGATAGATTAATTAAATTCTAGATTTCATGAAAATTTTCATTGATTTCCTCAACTTCATTTGGATTTTATGTTTCTGGTATTTATGAAATTCTTTCTTATTAAGAATTTTGTATATTAAATGTTTTTATAGAATTAGTAGATTTCTATTCCTAAGTATTCCTTTAAGGAGTTTTATTTTCTTTAGTATCAACTTGACTAATTCTCTAAGATTGAATGTTTGAAGTCTCTTTTAAAATGGCTTCTTATGGATGTTATGGAGGAGGAATTTATATTAATTTATATTAAAATGCCTCCTCTTGATCCTACTATTTTTCTCTTAAATATTTATTTAACAATAAATAGTAAGTAGTAGTAACTGGATCATGTTTGTTAGCTTTTAAATAGTCATAAGCTTATGGTAATTTAAAATTATATGTTGCCAATTACTACAAAACCTCATTACATATATTAATTTCACCATATCCTGGTGTCAAAATAGGATTAGTAATACAGGTTTGAATCCAATAATGTTTTACTATCTATTATATATTATATCTTTTGAGAGGATCTACTTATAATATTTTTTCAAGGAGATCCTTACATAAAGGACTCATATATTTTGGAGGAGCATATTCTCCATAGATGATTTTTTTATACAATTAGGCTGTATTACTATCTTCAAAAGGTAGGTATCCATTAACCATAGCATATAGAATGACACCACAACTCCAAGTGTCTGCAGATTTGGGATCATACTCTTTTCCTGCAATCATTTCAGGAGCAGCATAACAAGGACTACCACAAGCAGTTTTGAGTAATTGACCATCTTTAAATTGATTTGAGAGACCGAAATCTACAATTTTGATCTTGTTATTTTCATCTAATAGCAAATTCTCAGGTTTGAGATCTCTAATATATATAAATATGGTTACCTATGCATTACATAATTATCATGCATATATTAAACTCCAGAAAGTATTTACATCAAATACTCTGCTGCCTCTTTTTCATTTAATCTTTAGTTCCTAATTATAACTTCAAACAATTCTCCACCAGGTGCATATTCCATAATCATATATATAGAATTTACAGTTTAAACTATCTTCAAATAATTGTGATCTTTACTTCATAGATCTATATTATATTGGGGTGACGCAGTTTCTTAAGACAATTAATCTCCCTTGAAATTCTTTCATAATCTGTGTTTTCTTTCATTTTATCTTTCTCTAATATTTTTATGGCTACTGTTTCGTTTGTAATAGTATGTTGACCCAATCTGACTTATCCAAAAGTTCCTTCTCCAATGGTTTTACCTAGGATGTAATTTCCTATTGATTTAGTACTCATTCAAAAATTAAATTAACTGATGGGAAGTGTTTGTAAAAAACAAGATGATGAAAATGAACTTAATAGTTTAATTCCAAAAAAGAAAGGAGATACTATTACTATATCATAAAATCATGGAGGAGGATCATAAATCATCTAAAAAAAGAGGAGTACTGGAAATAAAGGAGATTATGAACCAGATGCAGTTGTGGAAAAATTAGAAGTGGAAGTATCTTTTACTATATGATGAAAGCTTAAACGTAATGATAAAAAAAAGATGGTTAAAGTTGAAGCTCGTTAGGATCAAGAGGAAATAGTAGAAAACATCTAAAAAAGTAATAAAAAGAAGTCGCCTTTTGATTACTAACTTATATTGAATTCATTCACAACTAATTCTCTATTTTAATCACTCTCTCAATAGGAACAGTATAGAATATTTAATATTTCTTCAGGGAAGCTATTTTAGAATAAATGTTTTATTGCACTACATCAGATGGTCAATTTGTATTTAGATAAGGAGATTTGAAGGCAAGTTCCTTTTTTCTTATTGGTATTATTTATTGATATCAAAGAACGTGGTTAATGTCAGATAATAATAGATGGGGAAGTAAAGAAAGTATTAAAATAATCTGATTCATTTGGTGAGAGAGCATTATTATATAATGCACCTAGATCTGCATCTGTGAGAGCAGTAGGGGATTGTGCATTTTGGGCAATTGATAGAAATCTATTTAGAAAAATGATTGAAGATATGAGAATGCATGAATTTGAAGAGAATAGATAATTTGTAGAAAATTTGAAATCTTTTGGTATAGTATTTAATTAATCCAATAGAATTTTTAACTTTTGATTAAAGATCAGCAATTTCAAGTGTATTATTTACAGTGCAATTTAAAAAAGGAGAGATTATAGTATAATAAGGTGAAACAGCAACATCATTTTTTATAATTAAAAAAGGATCAGTTTCAGTGATATAAAATGATAATGAAATAAGAAAGATGAAAAAAGGTGAATCATTTGGAGAGATGGCTTTATTTTAAAATTCTACAAGAGGTGCTACAGTAAAAGCAGCTGATGAAGATGTTAGATGTCTTGTTATTACAAGAGATGAATTAACTAAAATTTTAGGTGATAAAATATAAGTTATTATGTTCACTAATAAATAAATATGGGCAATTGAAAAACATTAAATTTTAGGATAATTAACTGAACTTTAAATTTAAAAGATTGTTTAAAATATGAATTAATTTAATTATGAATAAGGTGCTGTTGTATTTGAGGAAAAAGTATAAAAATTAGTGATTGTTTTAAGAGGAGAATTAATATTTGTAACATCTACATTTATATTTAAGGCAGACTGGGTCTAAAATGAAAGCCGCTAGTGAAGGTTAAGTTTTTGGTGATGCTTATTTCAACAAGTAATAACTTAGTGATCCAGTTATTGCTAAAGAGAAATGTATTCTAGCAGAAATTGATTTTAAACGATTTGAAGAAGTAATTGGAGGTTCCTTAGATTAAGTTATCAATAAAAATTAAAAAATTAGTGAAAAGTATATTAATCATTTTATTATATTTTAATAGACATAAGAAATAAGAAAGTTATAAACATGATTACTCTCATCTTAAATTATAAGAATTTATATCATTAAAAAAATTAGGATAAGGATAATTTGGAAATGTTTATTTAGTCAAAAATCCAAAAGATAATCCACCTCATTTTTATGCTTTGAAATGTATATCTAAAGCATAAATTGTTGATTAACATTTAGAAAAACATTTAGCATAAGAAAAGTAAGTATTGACATCTGTACATCATCCATTCCTTATGAAATATTATTGTAGTTTTTAAGATACTAATCATGTATTCTTTCTTGTAGAATTCATTAAAGGAATGGAACTATTTGATGTAATTAGAGATATTGGTTTATTGAGTGCTTTTGATACACAATTTTATATTGGATCACTCATTTTATGCATTGAATATCTAAATAAATAAAAGATTGTTTATAGAGATATTAAACCTGAAAACATTATGGTTGATGAAAAAGGATATGTTAGATTAATTGATATGGGAACAGCAAAGTTTTTAAATCATAAAAGTGGTAGAACTTATACTATTATTGGAACTCCTCATTATATGGCTCCAGAAATCTTATAAGGTAAAGGTTATACATTCCCTGTTGATATATGGTCAATTGGTATTTGTATGTATGAATTTATGTGTGGATAAGTACCATATGCTGAAGAAGCAGAAGATCCATATGAAATTTATGAAGAAATTTAAAAGAAACAATTATCTTATCCCCAATTTCTTAAAGATAGAAAAGCTAAGAAATTTATGGAGTAATTACTTAATAAAACACCTGAATTGAGATTGGGTGGATCTTATGCTAGTTTGAAGGCCAATTAATGGTTCGATTAATTTGATTGGGTATAATTATAATTGTATATTTAAACAAGGATAAATTGTATGATAAAGAAATGAAACCTCCTTATTTGCCACCATAATAGAAAATGCCAGCTACAGGTAAAGATGTACAAGGTACTCCAATAATGAAAGAACTATAAAATTTAAATGCCCAAGTCTATAAAAAGGAGAAAGCAAAAGATCCTAATTGGGATCAAGAATATTGAAGTATTTAATATACACAACTTTTTTTTTATGAAGATTATTTACAATATCTTATTTAATAATATAAGTATAATCAATTAGATAAATTAATTAATTATTAATGACTATTTTTTTTCATAAAATCCTAGATGCTGAGACTGAGAGATAATATAACTGCTTCCAAAGCTAATAAACAATTAAAATCTAACATTAATAAAAAGTTTTAATTCTTTTATTATTGAGTGTATTTACAATATAAAAAGGAATGGAGAAAAGTTGGACTTCATTAACTTTTAATCTATTTGGATTTATTTTTATATTACTATCCTATATGTGTGTGAAAAAAACTTAAATACATTATAAATATTTGCTTTTGGTTGTTGTTTTGATATTTAATTTTTTTTATCCATTTAATCGGTATATGGATACAATACCAAATCAAGATACTTATTTGGATGGGTATTTTATTTGTCTTGGCTCATTGTCGTAAGATATTCATAATATAATTAGAATTTTAAATACTGTAGAAGTTTAAGTAAAATATATGGTTATGATGCCAATTCTAGTATTTAATTTATATGTAGGTCCTTATAATGAAATAAATCTTTGGTCACAAAGCTTAAAGTTTCTGATTATGATAGTTATGGATATTCAATTTGGTATTCAATAAGAGATATTTAAAAGGAAATAATTTTTCAAATTAAATTGTAATAAAATAATACAAAATTACTTCAATTCTTAAGATATGTTTGATATCTTTAAAGTTAAATTTGATGAAAATATTACATCTATTAAATTATCATCTTTATTAGAAAAATAAAAGTTTAATGAATTCTAATAATTAGATTTTAAATAACGAATTCGAAAAATATTTATTCATCCTCAACAATAAAAAAATGAAATAAAAAAAAAATATTAATAATATCAAATATAATTTAACAAAATTAATTTAGAAACATTTTTATTATACTTTCTTAAAGGAATAAAACCAAAAACAGAATTTAAAACATTTGAGTCTTTCTAACAAAAATCTAAAGTAGAACTTGAAGAAATCTAAATCAACAATTTTGGACAAAACGATATTTCTACATCCAATTCCAAATAAATTGTTATATATAAAATACATCACTATAAAACTCCTCAAGCTTTAATTATCATATAATAACATGAGATATCAACTAAAATAAAAAAATTGAAACTTAAACAAGAAAATTATAAACTCATTATTAAATATTTTATTTCCATCTTTAATTCATCCTTTAAAAAATGCTTAACTAAATTGTATGATTTCAATTAAATTTGTGAATTTACTTTGAATTCATAGAAATAATAATTAATTCGTGAACATTATACTTAATTAAATAAGGTTTGGAATTCATTTAGAAATATGATAGATTTCATGCAATTATCATGTAATATCAATCCATTAACAACCTTCAATATTCTACACATGATTGAATAATTAATTTAAGCAGTTAAATATATACATCATGATAATATTGCAGATCTTGAAATCATAAATAAATTAAAAAGTTCATTTGTTGTATCTAATAATTCAAAGATGAAATAACTATTCTTAAATTTATTTTACTATATTTTAGATATAAATTTTGGAAAAACTTATATTATATTATAAGAAGAGTAGAGTAATGAAGATAATATTATTTATGTAAAAATTAAGTATTAAAGTTAAAATTCATTCAATAAATAAAAACTATTACATTTTCCTATCATTAATCCATTATCCTTTTCAGATTTAAAACATAATTCAAGAGGTATATAAAATTTAGAAATACCTATAAGTATTTGGTTAGTTAGACTCTTGGGACCAAAAGATAAAATTATAATAAGAAAAATAAAATTTCAATATGAATTAGAATTTTAATTGTATAAAATATTAACTTCTGATATGAATTTACAACAATATTATAATCTGAAACTAGAAAATTAAATCATATTACACTAAGATGAGTAACCTTTGTTCACTAATTGTGTTTCGATATAGCCATGTATATATTGATTAATGACTATAAATTTTCAAAATATTACATAATCAATTTTTTTAATAATAAATTTCCTTAATCTTTAATAATAATTAAATAATAATAGTATTGATAAATTTTAGAAATTTAACATATTTTTTATATAGTCATTAATCTAATTTTTAAATAGATTTAATTGATGGAGAAGATTCAGAATCTGAATCATCTTATTATTCTATTTATGGCATTCTACTTGGAAGGTCAGATAAAAAATGTGTCTATGTAACAGGAGAAAAGTTGGTTAAACTTTTGACTTCTTTTTTCATGTTTATTCTAAATAATGAAATAATATCATCATCCAAAAATTCAACTAAATGTTAATTAATTTGATCATCTTTAAATTTAGCAAGATTATTAAATGCTGTTTATGCCTCAATAGCCTTTTCAAGTTCTGATTATTCAGGTTTTAGAATAGAAAAATAAGATTGTTTATCATTTGAATTTAAATCTATATTAGGTTTTGGTAGGAAATCAAATAATTTGATTTGATCTGGAGACAATAATATCATTTTTAATTTATCAATTTCTTATAATTTCTTAACTATATAAGTTATATCAAGTGAATTATTAATTTTACTCATTGAATATGAAATTAATTATTATTTTTTACCTCTTGCACAAGGAATGTAATCACAAAAAGATAATTCTAATTTACTATTTCTCTCATCAAAGAATCTCTTAATACTATCCTATAAAGCATTAATTAAAAATTTATGGTCATTTTTCTCAGAATTTCTACCATGAACTGTCATTTATCGATTTATTCTTTCTAATTATGATGTTTTTAATTGAATTGATTTTAATCTTTATTTAGCAGTATTACTTGGATGTATTTTTTATTATTATTGTCCATTTTATGTTTAATTGTTTAAATTAAAATTAAATAATTCATTTAAGAGAGTAACTTTATATGATAATTCATTTAATGGAGTTACAATAATTAACGCAGCTATAATGAAGATTTCACATAAACCACCAAAGTCACTAAGACTTTATTGAATTTTAGGATATGAAATTTGATAAATTTATGTTAAATTATCTAAATAGAAACGATATGTCGCATATACTTTTTCATCTTATGAATCAAAGTTTTCATATAAATTATTTATTGAAAGAGATTTAGTAGTTTCTAATTCTTATAAAATGTATCCATGATCTTATTTGACCTCTGTTATTTGAAATATACCATTAAATCTTTTAGTGTAATATTAATTGATAACATTTTTAAATGTCTTACCATATAATTAATGAGGTTGATTAAAATTCATAGTGTCAGCATATGTTGATAATGTTTTGATGATTATTTCATCACTTTAAATGAATGGACATTTACTGCTATTTAAATTATTTAATAAAATTACGTTTCTTCGCATTGATTAATAGAAACTTCTATATACTTATAATAATCTGAATCTAAACTACCTTCTATAATTACATATGGAACTGACTCCCAATCTATACAATATTGAATTAGAGAAGTGTTGACAAAATAATCTGGAAGTCCTTATTGTTATTAACATTTTATGAGTGGAATATTTGTTTTTTGTATATTAGTAGTCATCTTTGAATTTGTTTTATCTTCAAATAATTGACTAACTAAAGTCATAGAAATATTATATGAATCTCCTAAATCATAATTTAAAGAACTAATAGTAATTGTGAAATTTTCTTTTGATAAATATATTGGTGGTTGTTATTATGAATATGATTAATTAGTTAATAAGGTAGGATTATCATGTAATACAAATGATGAAACGATATTGATAAATTGAATTAAAAGTACCGAAATGATTCCCAAAGTCATAAATGTGCCTAACAAAGTTCTATGTCCTCCTTATTTAAGAAGGAACAAATCAACTGGTTTAACAAAGACATTGATGTATTTTAGATAATAGATAACCTGATCTAATTTTTTTTGATTCATTTATAATGATAATGATTTAGATTTAAAAACCTTTTTAATGAATTGTTTTAGCAGATATACTATTATTGAGAATTTAAAAATATATAAATAATAATACTAATTATTATTCATTCATCTTCTTATGTTTATATTATCCTTTATAAAATAACTTTTTCTAAACCCATAGAATTTCTAAACATGATTTATTCATTTAATCCAAATTTCTTTTTAACTAGATTTGAATGTGGAAATATTTCATCCATAAATGAAAACTCTTCAAAATTAAAATAAGGTTTAAAATCTTATCTTCTTGAATGAATAGCAGACAATTTATATTATTATAACTTGTTTGCTTATTACACATAATTACATATTTATTTTTAAAGTTAGTTTTTATCTTATGTATTTAGATTAATTGAATAGGATGGTTTTGATAATTTTTTAGCTTTAGGTCTAGGCATTTTATCTACATTCATTTTCTATCTTCTTAATTAATTAATCAATCTAGAAGGAGGCTATCTCAATTATCTGTGTTGATGTAATTGATTAATTACATAATCATATGACTCATTTTCTGTTTTGATAGAACTATTAATATGAGAAGATTTATCATCCTTAGGTACATATAGAGTCTTATAAATTAGGTTCCTATTTTGAGAACTTTATTAAGTCTTTGATTTAGTTGTAAGAGTTTGTTTATCAAAATGGATAATTGGAAGAATCTCCTTACTCATATTAATAATAATCTTATAAAATAATTTCACACAACATTAATCCATTTATGTGGTTTATCTCCAGTCTTTAAAAATAATAATAATAATTAAATACTTAAATCTCAGTGATCATATCAAATAATTTATGAGACAATTCACCAGCATTTAATTTTGGATCATATTTAACTTCATAAATTTTATCATTATATCCAATAGCTTCAATTGGTTGAATGCTGACAGCAGTACCTGATCCAAACATTTCAATCATCTATAAATTAATATAATATATTTACTCTTCCTTCACTTATTGCTTCTATTACTTCTTAGATATACAATTTCTTTTCTATAACTTTGAATTATTTCATTTCTCTTGTTAATTCCTGTATATTAATTTTATATATATATTACAAGTAATGAATCTCTGACTATTCCTGGTAATATAGTACCATCTAATTATGGTGTAACCAATTCTCTTTCTCCTTATTTATTTGTCCAAAAGAAAAACAAATTACAAACTCCCATCTCTTAAACCAATCCATCTGGTAACATCCATAAATTTTAATGAAATCCAATTTATTATACTTCTTTTAAAGGCATGACAGTTGGTGCATAATTACCTGCAACTTTATAACCTCCAACACCTCCTGGTGCTGAACGAATCTATTATAATCATTCATATTATTACTGTTGTAGTATTACAAAATACTCTAACTGGTTTAAGTCCTGATGGAAAATATGGACCCACAGGACATAATACAACAAATAATTTTGCTCTACTGGATGCTCTCACTCCTAAAGCTTCTTCTGTTGCTATGATGGTTGGTCTTATGTAACAACTAAATCCTGGTCTGTCAGGTATCCAATCCTGATCCACTTTCAATAAACCTTCAATGCATTTTTATAATTCAGCTCCATCAAAATCAGGTAATGAAAGTCTCTTTGCTGATTGTTTCATTCTGTACATGTTACAATCCAATCTAAATGTTCTAATAGTTTTGTTTGGTCCTTTGTATGCCTAATAATAATCTATATTTGTTAATACTTTAGCTCCTTCAAAACATTCAATTGCATAATGTAAGCAAGCAGCAAATGGATGAATGGAGAAACTTTTAAAAGGAATAATCTATGGACGTGACCAACTAAACATATATATTGATTTCATTACCCCATTTTTTCAGTCCAATCAACTTCTAACATATGATCTGTGTGAAATGCTCCAAAAGTCATGATTTTAGGATCACAAGGTGGTTTCGTTATATAATGCATGGTGTGAGTGGTTGTCATGTCTCTGGCCTAAAAAAAGTATGATTTTCAAATCTACTTAGAATGAAGGGTATGGACTACTGAGGTCTAGATTTTTGTAATAGGAAAATCGGAAGAATAACTGTCATAATAATGAAATGATGATACCTTTTGAACTTTTGACGCACTCATGAACCGTAAAATAAATATTTAAATAATTTGATATCTATATTAAGCAATTACGCATTATGTCAATGTAAATTAACTCATTGATTACGCTATAATGTATTTATGAATTATTAAATAAATATTCAATGACACAATATTATCCTCTTTTAATATTTTCATTACTAATTTAAAATAAATATGATATGTATAATTATATGATAAATTTAATAAACTTATTATTCCCTTCAGAAACATGAAGAATATATTAAATACATTAATTTATGAATTAGTTTATAAATTATATTCATCATTTTTTGAATAGATATCATATATAAAATTACAATTGCAAATTATAAAAATTGAATTAGATTTTTCTTAATAAAATGAATTATGATTCATTATATTCATTTAGATTATAACATTGAATTTTATAAAATTTATTCAAAATAATAGAGGATAAATGTAAATTATGAATATTTCTTCAAGTTATTAATTTATTCTATAATTAATAAAATATTTAAAGAAAGAATAATAATCTTATATAGAAATAAATAAATATTTATTATTCCATTTGAGTAGTCTTATTTGATTTAATTAAAAATTTGTTCTATGTTTTAATTTACATAAATATGAGCTATTCTTAAGTTATGACATAACAATAGTGTGATTCCTTTTGATTATAATAGATTTCGATATTAAATTAATTAATATTTTAACAGTATGGGTTAATCACAATCACAAAATTTAGAACAATCACGCATGAGTGTTCCAAAAATCAACTAATTACAATTTTGGAAATCAGTTAATGATATACGTTATGGTGATATCAAAGTTTATAAATTAAATGATGGTCATGCAGTTGCTGTAAAAGATCACAATTTTCAAGATGATGAATAATGGCATGTCTTTAGATAATAAGCAGAATAATAAATGTAATCAAGATAAAAAGATCCATTCTTAATTGAAATGTTGGATTTATAATTTATTACAGAAAAAGAATTATGCACACAAATGACATAAGCACATAGTGTATATGAGTATTTTGATGAATACTTGGAAAGATTAATTGTAGAACAAGCTGTATCTAAATAACATTTTGAAGAAATAGAAATAGCAGCCATGCTTCATTGTACTGTATTATCTTTATTTATATCATTCTTAGTTGATAGCTATTTAAAAATTGAATATTCAATAGAGATCTCATGGAGACATAAGACCACTTACAATAAGTGTTACATCATTTGTTAAAAATTGTCCAATTAGATAAAATGAACCATACCCAATTTATAAATTAACTGATATTCAATAATTAACAGACTTGAATGCATTCAAAAGATGTATTACTAAATAAATGGGAAACTATAATTTAAGTCCTGAATAATTACAATTTCTGAAATAAAAAGTACTTAGACCTACTTATGATATGAATAAATCAGATGTGTTTAGTATTGGTTTAACTGCTTTATAGATGGCAACACTAAAAAGTATAAATGATATTTATGATTATTCTCATTATCTAATTAATACAGAGAAATTAGATACTTACATAAGAGAAATGAAAACACTTTATAGTGAACAATTATGTTCTATAGTGTGTTAATTATTATAATTAGCCCCTGAAACTAGACCAAATTCAAGACAAGCCAATGATCTGTTAATTGGTTACAGATTTCAACTTGAAGATTATTTCAGAGTATTTTTGTTAATCCTATTAAGTAATCAACAATTTAAGAAAGTTTACCTAATTATTCTATTGATTTTAGATAACAAAATAATGATCAAAAAGTTGAATAATAAGTGATTAGTAGAGTTGTAGATACTACTGATGTGTATGAATAATTAGAACTACTAGAATAGAGGACTAAAATAGCACTTTAAAGAAGTTAGGATGCTTAAAATAAATGTTAAAAAACACCAGGAAAATAATTAGACTAAACAAGAAGTTGTTAATTATATAATAATCTAACTCCAATTACCTAATAAGAACTTTAATTATAATTAAGTGATTTAAAACAAGATAATTTTAATCAACAATCTTCTTACTAAAAGAAAAATTCCAATTATTAAAAATAAGAGATTAATCAATTTTTAATATAAGATCATGAACATTATTAATATAATTAATAAGAAATAGAAGATAAACCTAAATTAAGTGTAGTGGAATAATTTACTCCTTCAAATCTAAAAACTATAGAACAAAGACCCAATATTTATAATCCAACCACATTATCATAATAATAATTATTTGAATCCATTAATACTGATTAAACTAAATCATATTAATAATAATAATATTCTTAATAATATCAAAACATTCAATCAAAATATCAACCATAACCTAGATAATCTTAACTTTTAAGAGATTAAGAATTGACTAAATAATTGACTGGATAATAGGGAACTCTATTGAACTAAGAATAAGAATATCATTAATAATCTCCTTATTCTTCTAAATAAGATATTCATTAATAACTATAAGATCATTATGATTCTTAACACCAAGTTGGAGTAAGATTATCAGGTACCAAAGCATAAATGTAGAGACAATTAACTGGTTCCATTGTGGAGACTAGAAAATCAGTTCATTAATGATTAATTATAAATGATAATTATATAATTATAATCAATAATAGTATTAACTATTTATTTCAAAGTTCATTTGGTAGACCATGTAATCTTTCCAAATAATCCATTACTGGAGTACTTAAAGCTGCTTAAACTATAAATTGAGACAGTCTCAATTACCAACCAGCATAATACCCAATAACACCTTTATCCTTATATACTTTTACAAAAGCTTATGGGATAGTTAATTATTTGTAATTTCCATTTTATTCCATTTAATAAGCCGTCTTAACAGCATCAAATGGCTAAACCAAAAGAATGTTAGGAATTGCAGTCAATAAACTACACATTACAATTTATTAAAATGTAAGAGCTTGACTTGGATTATCTTTGAAAGAGTATCTAATCTTATGATCCCAATAAAGATAATTTGTCCATGATACTACTTACTTTAACACCATAGCTTCCATTCCTGTGTAAATATTCCTTATAAAATGAATAAATGATCTCTCATTTCTCCATAATAATTTAAGTACTTATAATATTAATTTTATTAATTACTTGATTTTGATTAATGTTGAGTCATCAATTAACATTTAATTCTTTCCAAAGGACAAGTCACAAATGATTCAAATAAAGCTATTGTTGCACCTGCCAATCCCTTATGTAACACTGGATGATATTCTATCCAAGTTCTTGGTAATAGTTCCTTATAATATTTGGGTATCAATATCATCATGGGCCATCTATTATGTTCATGTATCATATTTACCTGTAGTATTGTTTAAACAATTGTATACTGATTTGAGATGAGAAACCAGCAAAAACTCCTTTAAGAACTCCATTCCTTCGATAAGTATCTTTGAATAATTCTTTCATTGATAATTGAGTACTCTCAGCTTGAAGTAAAGTCTTAAATCTATCAAACACATGATCAATGGGTAATCCCAGAATTACTCTGGATATACCAATAATCTAAGTTTCTAAGATAGGTTTCAAGTATTTCTTAGTGCGAACTTTGAATATAGATTCAGACATTCTGATTATATAATAATTAATTAATAAGACGATTGAATTCTGATTTAATAATAAAGAAATTTATGATTTTAATACGCATTATTTACATTCGATTGACACTCTTTATTATTAATTCATAATCTAATGATGCAATATTGATTATCATTCACACTTTAGATTTCAAATCATTTTTTTTTATAATATTTCACATACATCACTAAATAGTAATTTATAACATCTATATATTTCAACATTAGTTTAAGTAATAATACATTTTCTCATCCAAAAACATTAAACTTATATCGATTAAACAAAGAACTACATCATGTATAAATTATAATAATTTATGCTGTATCTTTTCTTTCTATAATATTTTATATTTTATAAATATTTTATTATTTTTTCTTATAATATCCATTAGATTATGATGAACTTCTAGAAATAGACAATTTTACAAACTACCAAGAATATTATTATATTGTTTAAATTAAATATCTATATTATCAATTGTAAATTATTATTAATATGTTCTTGTAAGTAAATTTGGTTTTAGAAATATGTTATTATATTCTTTGTCATTAAATAAGACTTGAAGATTAATTATTATAAAAATAAATTATAATTAAACTTAATTATAATATAAATTATTATCTCAATTCTATAATAATACTAATATTGAAATATATCTGTAATACTTTTCATTTTTTAAATTAAGTTAAAATAAGATTGATATAATTATAATTGATTGATGTATTTCCTTAATTTAAACTCAGAATTAGTAAATATAATTTATTAAAATTAGAATTAAAACGAATTAATTTTTATAAATGAAAATTGCTTATTTATTGTTGTGCTTGGTTGTCATATAAGGAATTGAATTTGAATCATTTTAATAGGCTATTGACTTTGATCCAGCTTCAATAGGCTCTCCAAATTGTTAAACAGATGATGAATACACAAATACTTATGAGGCGTATTGAAAAACAATAATGAAAGATTTTTCCCTTGGATTACAGTCTTAGAAGAAGGTGAAATTGAAATGCAAGAAGATCACAGTGTTCTATCATAGGCTAAAGAGAAGATCATTTAAGCTAGGGAATTTATAGAGAGTTTGGATGAAGGTTTATTTATTTTTCATTCTTAGAACTTTAATAAGAGAAATAATAAGAATCTAATAATCAATAAAATGAAAGTGTCCCTTAAGTTCAAGATGTTTAAACAGAAAAAGTTGAAGAAGCAGAATAAGTAGATGAGGATGATGAAGAAGAAGATCCTTTTGGTTGGGGATCTGGTGAAATTCCTTAATTATTAGTACATAAGAAAGAGAGAAAAGCTCATAAAAATACACATGCATTTATTTAAATAATGAATGGAAATAAATTATCTAAGTTCAAGAGTGTATGATATTATTATTGATGATTAGAAAATCAGTAAATTAATTTCTATGGCTACTGAAATGTAGGATAATTAGGATGAAAATGGTTAGAAAAGAAGATAGAGAAAAATTGAATTATGTGATGAGATTATAGATGAGTTAACAGATATGATATTGTTTTTAGAAAAAGTGATGAATGATTATGTAAATTATTTTATGATATATTTATATTAGGATTATTAAAATGAAATCTATGAATTATTTAAGTAAAAGTAATAATAGATTTAAGAAGTTGCAACTAATTGTGGTTAAAGAGTAATTAGTTATTAGGATGTAAGTTTGATTGAAGAGAAGAAATAATAAGAGAAAAAGAAAATATAACATCAAATTAAATCAAAGAGAAGAAATCCAGTTAGTTTTTTATAAATTGTTATTGATGATGAAGAAAGTTAATAACATTAATTAGAATACTAAAAATAAATATTATAGAGTTAAGGAATGTTAGGATTCTTGAGAGCATCTGGAAAATAAGTAAAATTGATATAATGATATTCTATTAATATATATCATGTATAATTATGATAATATTATTTTTTTTCATTTCCATGTTTACATCTAAACTATTTCTTCAGCAACTGATGGATGAATTCCTACAACATTATCAAGATCATTTTTCTTTGCTTTTAATTTTATTACAACACCAAATCCTTATGTCACTTCTGCTGCATCTGGTCCTAAATAATGGAATCCTATAATAATATCATCTTCCTTTTTCACAATCAATTTAGCATAACATGTACCCTTTCTGTTAGCAAAATTCCAAAACAAAGGAGTAAATTCAGATGTAAATATCTTAAGATTTTCTTTTCCAAATTTCTTAATAGCAGCATCCTCTGAATATCCAACACATCCATATTCTAAAGGTGTAAATACAGTTGTAGAAACATCTGAATACTCCATAATTTAATTTCCATTACAATATAATCTTTTTATTAAACGTTTACCACACATAATAGCTGTAGGTGTTAGTTCTAATCTACCTTATACACAATCTCCAATAGCAAAAATATTTGAAACAGATGTTGAATCAGCATCATTTGCTATAATCTTTCCAGATTCTTTATTAGTTTATACACCAACTTATTCTAATCCTAGATTTTAAGTATCTGCACTTCTTCCTATTGCAAGTAATACTGTATCAAAAATATCACTTTATTCTTAACCATTCAATACCCATTTCACTAATCTCTTACCATCAACATCTTCTATTGAAGTTGGAATTGTTCCTCTTATAAATTTAGTTCCTTAAATTTTCATAAATTCACCAATTCTTTCAGCCATTTCTTAATCAAATCCTCTTAATAGAATACTCCTGACCATTACAGTGACATCATAACCTAAACCAGTTAGAAATCCAGCACATTCTAATGCTACATAAGATGCTCCTACTACTAATGTTTTACCAGGTGCTTTTTCTAAAAAGATTTATTTTTAAATTTAATACTTAAAGAAAATAAATCATCTGATGTAATTGTTAATAATTTAACATTTGGAATATCAGTTGGAAATGAAGGTCTAGATCCAACTGCAATTACTATATATTCTGCAGTTACAAATTCTGATTATCCATCTTTATCAATAAGTTCAATAGTATGATCATCTTTTAGTTTACCTATAATTATATATATATATATATAAAGGATTACCTAATTTATTATAATATGTAATTCCATTAGTTGTAACTAACCAATCATCATTAGCTTTATTAATTCCTTTGACTTATCTTTAAACTTCATTTACCAAAGTATTCCAATCATGTTTTGAATGAGGGTCAACTCCTTGCCATCCAGTTGCTGTTAACTCATGTCTTATTTCACCAATCAATGCTGTCATATGCATTAACTTTTTAGGAATGCATCCAACATTGGGACATGTTCCTCCTGTTCCCCATTAAGTTCCATGTGGACTTGGTTTAATGTAATCAGCTAATCCTACTCTTTTACCTAGCTTTTAGGCTTCATCAACAACTGTTAGACCACCAGAACCTCCACCTATAACAAATATGTCATATTGATATTATGGATTCATTGACAATTTTATATTCAAAATTCTTTGCAAATTTATTTAATAATCATTCATTTTCTTCCTTTTTTGCATATCCAAGCTGTAGTTCCTATAACAATAGGCCATTTGATTGGAGCCATAAGTTTATAAATAATATAAGCTGCTGTAGGTGTACCATATGTTTCAATCTATTCCCACTTGCCTTAAGTTGTATCAAATCCAAGTCTAATGTAAATTGTATGGGTAATACTTTGATCCAACTTATTTTACATCTACTCCTTATTTTAATGCAAAGAAAACAATGCCATAATTGACTATTGAGACTGATAAATAAACACTTATTCCTAATTTGCCATAAGTAGCAAAGAATTATTTTGCTTTTTATTACATTTATATATATATATATATATTAATTAATCTAAAATATAGATAGTTAATAGATATAATTAATTTTATTGAAATAGTTTAGTGTTATATTTAATATAATTAACAATATTATTTTTATCAAAATAAATTTTTAATGCAAGGAAAGTATAACTTTATTTTTTCATTGGATGGAGAACAAAAATCATTTTTTGTTTCAAATTTAGATGTAGCATCCTTTTGTCGTTTGATTCGTTCAGCATTTTAAGTTGATAAGACCATTACAGCATTATAAGATGCGTAAGGTAAATGCAATAATATAATAGGAAATATTTGTGATTTGCATTATTTTTGTAATAATCTACATGCTCATAAGGATAAGTTCTATATTATATTGTCAGAACAAAGAAAATCAGAAAGACAAAGTAGAAAGTCTCATAAAAGTAAGAATTCAAGAGTGCTAGCTACAAATGAAGAACCTTCTTATTATGTAGATTTTGGAGCATTCTTATAAGAAATCTAACAAATTAGATTTAGGTATTTTTGATGTGTCATTTAGTCCTCAACATCCTGTTTTGACAATAGTATTGGTATTTGACAATGAATACTAGGCTGGAATCTTTGGCTAACCTATAGTAATGAGAATCTACAAAACATTTGCATTTCTTTAAGCCTATTACACTATAATCTAGGAGGAAGAAAGTGATTCATTGTTATTAACGGTTTTTGAAAATTAAATTCTTAAACATGAAATGGAAATGAAAATAAATCATTCTATTGCTGAAGATGTATGTTATTAGATAGAACAATTACTTTGTGAGGAGGAAGAGCCAGAACCTATATTATAGGGTAGTTTTGCTACTCCTAATAGTAATGCAAACAATAATATTCCTTTGATTGTAACTAGAGGAAATGAGAAATAGATATTATAAGTAGAGGCGAATGATAACTTTCATTCAAGTTAAGGCAAAAGAACACATGGGTATAATTTGTGTTAATAAGTGTAATGAGGGTAAAGAAGGCTGTTGACAAATTTCGAAATCGATTCGAATCCAGAGAATATGAATACCTTTTAGGATTAATTATTGGCTAAGATTAATCAGTATTTGCTGCATATCAATTATTTTAAAAATAATAAGATGATGAAAATTTCATTAGAAATTTGAAATCACTTTTACCTTAAGAAGATAATAACAATCTATCATTGTAAAATTGATATATTTTGTATAATAGTTAAAACAATCTCAAATTTATAACAAGTCCTAGTAGAAGTGATTTACATTAATCTGTTAATTTTCCTTATGATTGTAATCCAACTCCAGGTTTAAGATCATCTGTAACAATAATGGATTAATTACTTAATTCAGGTGATTTAGATTCAATAGAGTCTGGTATGTTAAGAGAATTGAGAATGGATAGTGATTTGGATGATTTAGTCAAAAGTTTAATGGATTATCCTTAAGATGTATAATAATAATATCTTATATTTATAAGGTTTTACTTTAAATAATAAGATAATATTTATAAAGTCAATTTTAATAAGAAATAACAAAGAATTTTAATTCTCATTAAGTAGAATACTTTTTATAAGAAAATGCTAATAAATAAAATCCAATTTATGAAGGATTTTAAAGATTTGGATAAAATGGATAATTATAAGATTTATTTTTATTTTTAAAAGATAATGTAGGATAATTAGAATAGTAATTAAGAGAAGAAAGTAGTTATTCTTATTATTTAATGCATAAAAGACGTAAAGATAGTCATGATGAACATTTTCATTTTCATTTGAATTTACCATAAATGAATTAATAAGAAGAAAGAAAATTAAGTGTTGATTCTATATTATTAGAAAGTAAAAAAGAAATTAATTTTATTGATAAATATCATGTTAAAGTATTACAAAAATACAGTAATGAAGATTATGAAAAATTGTTTATGACTGTATATGATTAATGTAGTAAATTTTGTGATGAACATGAAAAAGCTAAATTACATGGATTTTATACTGCTTAAAATTAAAGATTATTAGAAATATTAGATAAATATGGATAAAGATATGATATAGATAGTATTAAATCAGATATTAATGATTTATTGACTTTACAAAATAAAAAAATTGATGAAATACCTTCACCTACTCATGGTGCTGTTATTGAACCAAAAATGCATAAATATTAAAATTTCAAATTTATTATAAATTTTTTATATGAAATTGATAAAGTCATTACTTTAAGGTAAGCAAAAGCTTTTTATTATTTATATTCAATTGAAGATATGTCTGTTATGGCAGCTTATGAAGTTTATTGTGAAACAAAAGAATAAGATGAATTTTTAAATACTCTAAATCTTATATTTAAGGTATATGCATCGTCTTCTAGATTTGATTTTAATGAAATTGAACAATTTGATAGTTTGATTGAATAATAATTGACAATATTATTTGCATATAGAAGATGTTTGAATTAGGAATAAAGATTAGCATTGGAATAAGTATATATATATATAAAATTATTATTTTAGAATATGATATCATGTGATAATACCTTATTGAAACTATTTAGAGATTTCCTTAGATAGAGAGATTAGAGGATATTCATTTAAAAATTATCAGATTTTGCAAATAGTCAAATTGAAAAATAAAAAGATAATTAATCTATGGATCCTTACATGAAAAAGATTGATTAAAATAATTAACATAAGGATTTAATTAAAGACATCTGTGCTAAATTCTTAAAATCAAAAGTTAAATAAATAGATTTATTAATGGATGCAATTGATAAGGATAATATTATGTTAAAATCTTCATTAGAAGTCTATGATTATAATTTAGATAAACAAGATTTAGTAGAAAATATACAATTAATATACAATTACATCTTAAAATCTAATGTAAAAAGTATTTTGAAAGCTAACTTAATTGAATTAGGAAGATCAAAAACAGATGTAAATATATATATTAATTAATAAAAATAGTTAACCTACTTATTAAGAAATATTAATCAAGATGAACCAATTCTTAAAGGAGCATTTGAATTGTATTTCTAAACTAAAGATGAAGCAGAATTAAAGGATACTATTAGTAGAATACTCAAATTTAGCAATATTTGATAATTATTATTATATGTACAAAGTTGAACTTATAGATTCATCCTTATTTTTAGGATTCTTCTAAACATTATAAATGTAAAATACATATTGTTAAAAAGAATGTTCTCAAATATTAATTAATTGAATGAAAAGAATTTAATCATATAATAATCTAAAATATTTAAATCAATTATTTAATGTAAGAATAATAACCAAATTTGCATTAATCTTTATAAGACAATAAGTTTAGTGTATATAGTTAAATTAATAATTGATCTGATATTTTGAAGAAGTTAATTATCAAATAAAAATGAATATAATTAGATCTTAACTATTGTCTATAGAATTAGAAGAGTAATATATAATTCAGGTTGGAAATATATCAAAAATTTCATTAATCATAATATTTAAGTATTTAATATTAAGAAGATGAAGAAAAAAGAAATTAAAAATAATTGATAATATTATAAATGATTAATTCTTTGATCACAACATAAGCTTTTTAAAAAATGCAATAAGACTCCCCTTTGAATAGAGAATGCTTTGAATGTGGAGCACCCAATCCAACTTGGGTGAGTTTACCAAACTCTGTATTTCTATGTTTGCCTTGTTCTGGCATACATCGTAGTCTTGGTGTACATGTGTCCTTTGTTCGATCTACAAATTTAGACAGTTGGTCAGACAAACAATTAAAAATGATTATGATGGGTGGAAATGATAAACTAAAAGAATACTTCACTTCTATTGGAGTATATAGTGACCCATCCAAACAACATGACATTTCATGGAAATATAGAACCAAAGGAGCATCCTATTATAGAGAATGTGTAATTAAACAATTCTAAACCTTTAGATCAAAGCAAAGACTGAAGAAAGAGAAGTCCCTGCACCTATTCCAATAGAAGAAGCTCTAGAAGAAGATCCTTAATTGGCAAAATCTAATTCAAATCCTTTACCTAAAAAGGGAGAACAATAATAATAATATTAACCAATGTAGATGAAATAAGAAGAAGATGATCCTCTTGATAAGATGAAGAATTTTTTTACTGTTGGATTTTAAAAAACATCTGAGGCAGCCAAAGAAGCCAAAAAGAAATTAGAAGATAAATATAATGATGAAGAATTTTAATAGAAATTAACATAGTTTAAAACAGATTTCTCTTAGAAAACTAATGAAGTGGCTGTAAACTTGCATTCTTTTTATTTTAGGGTAAAACTAAAGTTGTTGCTGAAAAGAGCTTTGAAACTGTTAAAGAAGGAACTTTATCAGCCTGGAACTTTTTAAAGACTAAATTCAATGATTTACAGAAAAAGGATCCATAACCAGAGCAATTTGAGATTTTAGAACAACCCAAGAATGAATGAAATTCTATAAACTTGTATAAAAATAATTAATATATTATAATGGCATATTAATCATAATGCAATTCATAAATGAATACTAATCACTCTTTAAAAGCACCAGTTGATTCTCTATTAGGAAGAGTTGTATGCAAAAATTACCTAATTGTTTCCAAAATTAATGAAGGATCATTTGGTAAGGTTTATAAGGCCATTCATTAAATTAAACAAGATTATTATGCAGTCAAAATTGAGGCTTAAGAACATAGATAAAAAAAGGGAGAGACTTTGAGATTGGAAGCAGAAATTCTCAAAAAACTTAATGGTGAAAAAGGAATACCTAGATTATACTATTATATTGAAGATTCAACTTAAAGAGTACTTGTTGAAACCTTATTAGGTATTTTATATAATATTAAATATTTTAGGTAAGAACCTTGATGAATTGTATAGTTTATGCAACCACAAATTCTCTTTGAAAACTATCTTACTCTTTATGGATTAAGCAATTAGTCGATTAGAATATCTTCATTCTTAAGGGGTAAATAATTTAATGAGATAAAGTGCCCTAGTATATACACAGAGACATTAAGCCAGAGAATTTCATGATTGGAATTCCTCCAAATGAAAACCTCATCTATCTCATTGACTTCGGACTCAACGCTCCAATTTATGATTCATAAAAGAAACTGTTGCCAAAATTAAAAGGATAACCATTAGTTGGAACTGCTCGTTTTACCCCTATTTGTTCTCATTAAGGATATAGTTAAAGCAGAGCAAGTGATTTAGAGTCCTTAGGTTATTTGGCAATATTTTTTTTAAAAGGTTCTCTACCTTGGATGAAGATTGAAGCCTAAACCAAAGAGGAGCGGTTTTATTTGATAGGATAAAAGAAAATGAGAGAAACTCCAATGTCGTTGTGGTAACAATTATAAGTAATTTAATTTTAGTTACGGATTACCTCGTGAGTTTGAGGGGTATTTCAATTACATTTTTAATGTCTCTCATGATACTGAACCTTCTTATAATTATTTAAGAAAGTTGTTGAAAGGATTAATGCATAGAATGTAATATAATGATAATATTTTTGATTGGTAAGAGATAATAAAGAAGGAGGAAGAAAGTAAAAAAAGTTCGAATAAAAAAATAAAATTAAATGCTTAAACTTAATAATTTAAACCTATTGAATCTGAGGATGAATAAGATAGTCCTAAAGTGGCTATGATGTAATCTAAAGATTCTAAGAAAAGCTCATCAAATTTTCTTAAAAGAAGTATCACTGATCAATTGAATTTCTAAAAATAATAAAGTATTAATCAAAGAAATAATATCGAACTCTTAATTTCATAAAATGAATTGCTTAATCTTAGATTAAAATAGAAATTATTATCAAATAATAATAATAATAACACTTAAGAAGAACCTGAAAACTTTGGCTTCGGTATTATGAATGAATATTATCCATATCCTACAATGCAGTAATAAATGGATTAGTTGATTACAATTATTACTAAATTTATTATTAATTAATGAAAAAATCTCCTCAACTTAAACTTTAGATTATTAAAATGCGTCCTATAGTATGTAATACTGAATTAGCTTTCATTATTCCAACTAATAAAGAAAAAAAAGTCTCCATGAGTATCGCAGTTAAAATTTAAATTAGAACGTAAAATGAAAACTAGCGACGAATAAATTAAAAATGCACGCTCAAGATATTAAGAACTATTTTATTAATAGGAAGCCAACTTAGAATATTTGTATGATTAATTAACAGAAAGAATAGAAAAATATACTCTTCAAAAATAAAAACAATTAGCAAGCAAAGCAAAATATGCATGTGATTACAATTTTAGATGGAAATAAAGACTTTAAGAATAAAAATGGTTAGATATTTATATGAGTAGGTTTGTCAGCTGAAAGAGAATTTTATTTTTAAGAAATGCATTTTTAAGAGTTCCAGAAAAGACATTCAAGAAGTAAAAGCTTAGCTTTACCAAAGATAGAAATAATAAAAAAGACAGAACCATGTCCTATCATTAAAAAAAAAGAAGAATAATCTTTTGATAAATAGAGAAAAATAATATATTGTTCCTACCAAAGAGATTTAAAATAAGTATACTTTATTATTATTATAATTAGATGAAAAGATCTTTTGAAATATCATAAAAATTAGATTAAGATGATCATCGAATAATGAAATAAAAAACCTTAGACATAAAACCAAAATAAAAAGTAACCCAAAAACATGATGACAATACATTTCTAACATATGTTTGATATCTAAATTGTATTATTCATTTATTAAAATAAAAAAAATCATCTTCACTTTTAAATATTTATCCTTTTCCTTCTTTATCAAAATGAGAATAAATCCTATTTATTATATTAATTAAATACAAAATTTAATCTAATCTAATATCTTCCCATATTCCAATTTTTAATCCATCTACATAAGATCCACAACTTATTATTTCACGACTATTATAAATTTCAATTTATTACTCTAATGGATAATACTAATGAAGTTCTCTCCATTTTCCAATTTTTTGCCCTTTTTCATTAAATGATCCACAACCACTTTTTATAGAATACACAAAATTACATTAAGTAGTTCTCCTTTTAAGTTACTATTTGCCAATAATTAATTTTAACTCCATTTAGATATTCTCCTTTCATCATTAATTGACCCCTATTTAAATCTTTGACTTACATTAATGAATATCTTGGATGCAACTCTTTCCAAAGTCCAAATTTCTATCCATTTTCATCATATAACCCACTACCACTTTAATGTTATTAATAATAAATTACATTATTTAATTTTCTTATATAATTTTCCATAATCCGTATCTTTTACCTTTTTTATAGTTTCCTTCAAATTGTATTTGACTTAATATACAAAAATTATTACTTTTCATCATATCCTTCAAGAAATTCTATCCAATAATTTTATTTTTATCCGATTTGATTATACATGCATTAACTTAAATAATTAATATTACAATTAAAAATTACAATAATTAATTCTCTAATTTAAATTTCCATTATAATATCCTAACTCCATTTTCATAAAATCCAGACGATAGCATTTCCCTCAAATTTTATTATAATTATACCAAAAAGCATCAATGATCTCTACATCTATCCAATCACCTTACTTTAAACCTCTTTTATCATATTTTCCTCCTCCACTATTATTTATTATTTAAAATTAACATTCTTGTATTATCACCATGAATATTCCATTAACCAACTTTAATATCTTATGAATAAGCGCCTACTTAGAATATAAGGTTACTAGATTAATTATAAAATTTACGATGAACTAGGATTTTCTATTGGTTCACTCCAAATTCCATTTTTTTTGAATTCATCAGAATATACCCCTCCACCACTAATAATTTAATTCTATCAAGTCCTTTATTCTCATTCCATTTTTATATGATCCTTAGTATTTAAGTTTGCAACTTTTTTTGGAATTTATTTTCTTACCGATTTGAATAATTTTTATCCACTTCTATCCAAAATTTATCTTTATACCCATTATCATTATATTCTCCATAACCACTAATTGCAAATATAAATTTACATTGTTTTATTATCTAAGGTCCATTTCCAATATTTAACTCTCCTACCTTTTTTGTAATTACCTTTATAGAATAAGAGAAAACTAATATTTATCATATTTATACTCCTAGGTTGTTTTATTTTATACTTCTATCCACATTCCTTATTTTTATCCTTTTTCATTATACTATCCTCCTCCTTCACTTATATTAATTTACTTAATACATAATTTATTCTTTAAGTAATGTATTCCATATTCCTACTTTGATATCCTCTCTATATTCTCCTGAAAATGTTATAAGACTTATCATTTAAACTTTTAATTTTACTTTTTTTCATAATTCTTATCAGGTTCTATCCATATTCCAACTTTTTGACCACTATAATTATAATTTCCTCCAAATCTGATTATTATAATGACTATTTACATTGACTCTCCATTTATAATATAATCCCACTTACCAATTCTAACTCCACCTATTTTACAACCTCTAAAGTAAACATTAGTGAAATTAGCACACTTTTCTACTTCTTTTAGATTTTGCATATCAGATCAATTATCTTTGGTAAATATAACAAAAATTTTATGACATTTAAAATTAAATATTTTATTACCTTTAAAATGTAATTAGATTTTATTCTGTTTTTATTTATCTCTCAATATAATTAAAAGTATAAATATAAATCTCAAAATATATATAGACAATGAATAGTATTACTAACTATTTAGAATAATTCAGAAAAGGCATTAGCTAAAACTGATTAGTATTGAATATTAATAACAATTAAATACTTAACTTTTAGAATAATAGAAATAAATTTATAAGTATATAGTTCTAATCTAATCAATATATTATTATTTATAGTCAAATTAAACTCATTATTTAAATAAAGGATTTTTGGATATTTTATTCTCAAGCAAATTGATAAATTCATTAAGATTAATCTAATTATATATTATATTTTTTACCATTCCATCATTATCAGTATCACATTGATCTAAAATTTCCTACCACATTTCTTCATCTATTTCTTCATCAAATAATTCATTAAGTTCTTGTTTAGTAATCAATCCATTGCCATCCAAATCAAACAATTTAAATGATTACTCTATTCTCTATCTACTTAAAGATTTCTCTTTATTTATTGTTGCAGTTATAAATTCACTGAAATCTACAATTCCAGAACCATTTGCATCTAATTATGGAAATAGTTCTTCTACTACTGTTTCAGCAGCTAATTTGTCCCCTTTATGAATCTTTAAATAGGCTATTATTAATGAATTAGAATACCTTAATATAATTCATCTTTGCTTACTGTTCCATCTCCATTTTTATCGATTTCTTGAAATATTTTAAGAAGATCATTTTTTTCTTAGTTTGTTACAACTTGAACAGTAATAAACTAAAAGATTGCATATTTTAATTTATTTTTTGAATCAAAATCTTATAATTTACTAAGAGTTAAACTGTTAATTTGTCCTTTAGCTTTATTATTTTTAATCCATTCATGATTCAAGGCATCAGCAGCTGATATCCTATTAACAGGATTATATAACAGCATTCTTCTTATTAAATCTTTTCCAGAATTAGAAATTTTACCCCAATCATTAGGGTCAAATGTATATTCACCTTTTTTTACTTTTATCAAAACTTCCTATTCATTGCATCCCATAAAAGGAGGATATCCACTTAAGAGAATATATAATATAACTCCAAGAGACCAAATATCACATTTTTCATCATAATTTGCATCAAGCACTTCAGGTGCAACATAAAAAGGCTAAAAAAAATAACAATGAGATACAGTTCCAATTCTTTTTTGCAACTTTTCACAATTTTATAATTTAGCACTTGCACCAAAGTCAATAATTTTAATGGAGGCTTAATCATGTTTCTAATCAAATAATATATTTTCTGGTTTTAAATCTCTATGAACAATTCCTTTTTAATGACAATAAGAGACAGCTGACAATATTTATTTAATAAAATTGGCAATCTCTTTCTCCGTTAATATTGAAACAAGTTTAATTTTTTCAAATAATTCTCCACCCTCACAATATTCACTTACCAAATAATAACTATATGTGTCAGAAAATATCTCATATAATTTGACTATATTTGGATGATCTATATCCATTAAAATCGCTGTTTCCTCTAATAATCTTTCTTAATCTTCTTATTTCATCTTCTCTTTCAATATCATTTTCACTGCCCTTATCATTCCTAAGTTAGAGGTCGTGATGCTATTTACCAGTTTATTTATGGACGACTTTATAGACTTTACCAAACCCTCCCTATCCAATCATTTCTTTTATCAAATAAGAGTCATTAATATTTTTATTAGAATTGACCCTAACAAACATTGTTTGCTTTATATTCCATTGTTTAGAACTAGTTTTCATGTATTCTTATTTTATTTCTACATCAGTTATATCTTTTGTGTATAATGAATTTTTAATTGGAAAACATATTTCCTTTTCCTTGTGAACATTGCAATTATTATCAAGATATAAGATACTTTGAATGAATTCATTCTAAAATTATTCTGAATTTTCTTTAGGAATAACTGAGTTTGTTTGGTTTTCTAATGATTTTGAAGTACAACAACCATTTGGAAATGATTTACAACAACCCATTAATAATAATTAAGTTATATAAATTCATTTTTATAATTCTAATATCATAATTTTTGTTCACAAGTTGAATAGTTTTTTAATGTAAATAATGAGATGCTTATTAAAAAAATGTGAACTCAATAATCCATCATATGGTAAACTTATTCAAAATATAAATAATTATTTTGAAAAACAATTTATTGTGAAAACTGTTCTAAATTTTTGATAAAATCTATTTAACAATTTATGTAGATGTTTTAGTTAAGAATTTTTAAGTTTAGTTAATTTTGAAAATAACAGAAAATATATTTTAAATATAATTTATTCTGATTATTTATTCTATTAAAAATATTGTCAGAGAATTTTATAGAAATTCTTAAGCGGATTGTTGAAGCAATTTGATTAATTAATTAAAAATTATGCCAGTGGAAAAAGTATACTCTACTAAAAATATTGGAGGAATTCCAATAGTTTAATCCTATTTAATGACAATATTTGATGGAACAGGATCTATGAGTTGTGAATATGATACTGCTGTTAATGCTTATAATGAAGTCTTTAAAAATAATAACAGAAGAGAAGAGTTTTAAATGGCTTATGATGATGTATATAGCTTGATACCCTTCAAAAGAGCAGGTCATGGTAATATTACAAAAACATTTCATCATGTTCTCAATAAATTGCTCAGTAATAAAAATTAATATGGAAAAAACATTACTATAATGTTTATTAGTGATGGAGAAGAAATATTTGAGATTGGTGGAGTTAGGGAATTAGTTGAAAAAGTTAAGTAAGAATTTAGGATTCAATTCATATGCGTTAAAGTAGGAAATGAATTTCCCACAACAATTAGTAGTTAATTATGGAGTAAATTACATAACATTGATGAAGCAAAAAAATCACTTCCTTTTGAAATCCCAAGACCCTCTGACTGCGATAAATTAAAATAATTATTTCTAGAAGGATTTTAAAAGATTAGAGACAACAACCTCAAATTCCCTATTGATAATTTAAAGACTGATACACCTGTCTATTCAACTGCCACTTCTGAGCCACTTTTTGAGATTGAAATAGAAACAACATTTATGTGTTATGCAGATTGCGTTAAAGTGAATGGTGAGGTGCTCTATCCAACTAATAATCCAGAGGACAAATAACACTTCTTGCTAAAATCAGTTCATAAGGTATTTCTAAACGGAGGAGAATAAGAGGATTTTAAAAAGGCATAGTAAATAGCTTGTAATATTTTTGAAAAGCATTCTAAAGAATATCTATAAAAATTATAAAATTTAAGATGTATTTAAGATAATGAAAGAAGGAGCGGCAGGAAATTTAGATTTTAGGAAATTAGATGATAAAGTGAAATCAATATTTATACATGATATTCAGGATATTAAAGTTAAATCGGAAAATATATTTTAAGATATTAAAGATATGGAAAGAAAAAGAATTTAATCTGATTTCTTGAAAAAGTTAAATGAAAAAATGAGTTAATATATGTTAGATTGAAATTATATTTAGAACAATTTAAGATAATTTATTTAAAATTTTAAAAATTAAATCTCTATCATTTAACAATTGTTCATAATTTATTTATGATATATAAATTGTTAATTTATTATAATTAGTTTGAAATTACAATATAATAAATATATAAAAGAGATGATTCAAAAAATGATATTTCACATTAATTATAAATTAGAGTTAGAAAAAAACATGTTGATAATTTTTCTTTAACTGATACTTTAATCAAAAGAATAAATTCATCAAAATATAAATCTGATCTGTAAGAATGGTTTATAACCTTCTTGAATAAAATAAAAGGTAACCAACAGGTAGTAATTGGTGGAGATTTCAATTTCAGCCTTTCACCATTTCCAAAATTTCACTCTATTCTTTCTAGGTAAATCAAAACATTGAAAAAAATTTATAATTAGAAAATAGAACATACCATCAATAATCTTCCGTAAACTTTTTCACATACTAAATTACTTTAATAACTTATCTGATTTTCCCTTAATATCTGTAAAAACTTATATTACCTTAAATGGAAAAGCTCAAATATGTAAATGCGCATATTCATTTTATGGAAAAAGCACAAATACTTTTTCAACAAGTTCAACAAAGCCTAAACCAAGGCCATAAATACTAAGGAAGCAAAAATAATTGATAATTTCATATGCAAATCTTAATTTGAGTATACATAAAGTGATTAATAAAATCAAGAATTAAGCTATTCCTCTACTTAATATATCATATTATAACAAATATCACAGTATTTTATCTCACAAAAGGAGAGTAAAAGATAAAATTAAGAGATATTGAAATTCAATAAATAACAATTTGTATCTACCCCTATCAACCGAATAGATCATTTGCTAACAGATAACTTCACACTATTCTTTAAATTATATAATAAAACCTGCATAGAGCATCAATGTACATCATCATATAAACCTATTTTAGGATATCATACTAAATTTCTTAACCCTGATCAATTGATTAATAAGTAAGAAGATAAACAAAAAATGAATAAGAACAGAGTTATTTAACTCTTTTATTCATTTATGATCAATAATCAAGATCATTAATTCACAGATTTGATACCATTATTATTTTTAATCTATTTGAAGGTTCAATTTAATTTACATTTTCTATTAACTAATCAATCTAAGGTTCTTCTTTGTGGAAAAGCTATTATAATGACATTTGGATTCTTTTCTAACTCATAAATCCTTAAGACATTTATCATTACTATAAAAAATCATGAATGGGATTAATATATTTAAAAAATAATTTATATCCTTATACTTTTGATTTTTTTACCCACACAATCTTATTAAATTAAATCGTCATTTGGTAAGGAAAATTCTAATTGTAAATTCGGAATTACGATTTCCAACTATTTGAATATTTTATTTTCTTTATTCAAGGTTACCTAATTTTTTAATCGAAGAAAATATAATTTATTCTGATTTTTTATTCTTTTAAAAATATTTTCATAGAATTATATATAAATTCTTTTGCGGATATTTGAAGCAATTTGATTAATTAATCAAAAATAATGCAATATCCAGGGCCAAAGCCATTTTCATTCTCTGCTAGAAATGCTGGAGAGATTCCAAAAGTTTAATCCTATTTAATGACAATATTTAGTGGAACAGAATCAATGATTTCCGAATATGAGATTGCTGCTAATGCTTATAATGAAGTCTTTAAAAATATTAACAGAAGAGAAGAGTTTTAAATGGCTGATGATGGTGTGCATAGCTTGCTTCCATTCAAAAAAGCAAGTAGAGGTAGTATTACAAATACATTTTAACATGTTCTCAATAAATTGCTCAACAATTAAAATTAATATGGAAAAAATATTACTATAATGTTTATTATTGATCGATAAGAAGAATTTGATGTTTCAAAACTTATGGAATTAATACAAAAAGTTAAGAAAGAGTTTAGGATACAATTCTTATCTATTGCAATAGGATATAAATTTCCCACACAGATTTGTAATGAATTATGGAAAGAATTACATAACATTGATGAATAGCAATATCAAATTCCTTGTTTGATCCAAAGACCCTCTGACTGCAAAACATTAGAATTATAATTTATAAAAGGATTTCAAGAGATTAGAGATAGATACCTCAGTTTTCAATGATTTTTAATTTATAACTGATTGAAATTATATTATAAAAATTTAATTACTATATTTTAAATTTAAAAATTAGATCTCTATGATTTAACAATTGTTCATAATTAAATTATGATATATAGATTGTTAATTTATTATAATTTCAATTTTTACTTCTGAAATATTATGAAAATGTATTATGGTTTAAAATCATAATGCATTATTAAATTGCTCAAACATAATTATTTATAATTGTATATTATTTGAAAAACAACTTTGTAGATTTTTATAGTATTATCGAATAACACTGTTTAAATGATATTTTTGGTAAAACTCACTATTATTATGATTAAATCAGATTAGAAAATATTTACAGTCATGAATAAAATGACTATTATTTTCTAACTCCTTTTCTTTAATTCATAATTGGAAATTTTCATAATAAATAGAAGGATGTTTTAGTTTAAATATCATTTATCTAAGTACATAAGATAACAGACATGCTAGATATTTTTTTAGCTCATTCATGTTGTTTTTTTAAAGTTTCAGAATCTTAGAATTTATGTTTGGATAATCAAAATTTAAGTGAGTTATTTGAGGTTAAGCTTAGAGGAGTCTATTTATAAATTTTTCTAATTACTTCATTTTAATAAATATATAAATTGAAAAAATACATAAATTATTTGACGAAACAAAGAAAGTTAGGTTTCTAATTTTTAATATAGTATAGACAATTAGGTTGCCTATCACAAATCCAGAATTATTCGAAAGAGTTAGAGTGAAACCTCCAAAAGGATTTTTGATGTATAGATCATTTGAAATTGGGAAAACTTTGATTGCAATGTTAAATTACTTTTAATTATGTCTTTATTATAAAGTGATATTTAATCTTAATTATTTCAAAAATTCAATTAATCAGAACTTTTTATTTTTTACTTTGATGATTTATAATTCACAGCTTCAACTTCAGATTTTGTTTTTTTAATTGTTTTTCTCACTTATTCAAATTTTTCATATTATGAAATTCTCATATAGCAACCCTAAATAGTTACTAAATAATATCCTAGTATTCCTGTCATTATTTGTTTTGGTGTAAAAGCTTCAATTATCTTATTAAATATTAATAATACTTTTAATATGATTCCAAAATTTTATATATTACTTTTGACAATTACATATGTTAATATAGGAACAATGTCATCAGTACCATAACTCTTTATAGCTTCAAGTTCAGGATGTTTTTCATAATAATCTTTTATGCAACTATGAATCTCTTAAAAGGTTTTGGATATAATTTTCAATTAGTTTATAGGTGACTACAATAATTCAAGTTATTTTAATGTATTTATTGCTGATTGATAAGGCTAATTAAAATCATCAAATTCAGAAATTTAGATTGATGGATTACCTTTCAAATCTACTTATTAGGGTCGTAAGGCAATTTCTATTTGAGAGTTTAACTATAATTATAAAGAAACATCGAAATCAGAAATCTAATTATTCTTTAACATTCGCAAATTAAATTAAAATTGAGAATTCTCATAAGCATAAAGTTCTGAGAAACTCTTCAAAATCTTTTCATAAATTCTTTTATCTAAAAATAGGACATTAATCACAAATGCTATAGTATTAGTACTAGTAAAACAATTTAATAATTAAGTTGAATGTACAAATTTATCAATCATATAGTAACTATCTATACAATTTACAAAGAATTTTAGAAATTCAATAATTTCATCACAAAGTTCTGTGCTTTTAATTAATTGATTCTTATATCTATCTCTTCTAAATGAATCTCTAAACCAAACTTAAGGCCCAGTATAATTTACAATATAAATTTGAAATGTTTATAAGATTAATCCACATGGATGATCTGCAATTTTAATTTATTAGTAAATTATTCCCATTACTTCTCTGAAGAATTGTTTCTCATTCATACCTGATTTCTTTCTATCCTCAAAGATAGTATTGGCCTCTTCTTCATAGTATTCAAATATATTATATTTGGATTATTCGTTTTGTTCCGCAATTTTATTTTTATAAAATGAAGAATTTGTTTCGTAACTACTTATAATCATTCTTATTTAATTTAGATAGATTGCTTGTAATTCTTCGAAATTCTTAATATCTAAATTTTGCAATCTTAACTTCATTAGATCTGACCATTAAAAGTGTCTATATTAACCTCTGTTTAATTTTCTTAAGGTATAATCAATCCAAGATAATTAAATCTCTACTACTTAAGTTTTAATTAGACCAAAGCAGTTGCAACAAGCAAAACAATAGGATAACTTATTTTCTTATACAAATATTTTAGAATTTTCAACCTATGATGAGTCAATAGTATTCGTATGTTGGCCTGATTTGATTAGAAAATATACTTAAGAGTAATTCCGAAGAATCTTATCTTTCAACTTTTGCTGATTTATTTCCCATATTATAAAATATATTAATAACTAATAGAAACTAATATCTGAGTGAATGATATATTAATAAAATAGATTAAACATAATAAGTTATTATCTCTTATTATTTTTTAGTTTGAATAGATTTTAAACTAAATAATTGATATTTATAATATATTATTTATCTTTAAGTATTTCAAATGTAAAAACATATGTATAATTAAAACTAGATGATATAAATAGTTATGATATAATTAAATATGATATTTATCAATATAATTACAATAAATCAAATATCATTTTATTATTATTATGATTTAATCATTGCCATCTCGTAATAAATAATTGATCGAGTCTCCATTTGTATGGTTAAAGGAAAAAGCAGAGAGAGATAGATAAAGAACAGGGTATATATTGCATTAATATAATTTAGAGTACCTTCTAAATTATGGTATATCAAAGGTAAGATCTATGATTTATCCCAATTTCTTTAACTCCATCCAGGAGGAGATTACTTTTTATCATTGACATAAGGATAAGATATAACAGAAATGTATTATAGTCATCATTTAAACATGGAGAAATGCAATGCAATTTTACAAAAATATTATGTTAGAGATGCAGACAAGATTGATTAATATTTTGATTATGATGAAAAAGGATTCTATCTTACATTACATAAAAAAGTGAGTGATTATTTCAAAACAAGAGATAAGGGACCAACATTAATGATGAAATTAGTTGTTTTTATAGCTCTATTTTCATTCATTATTACATTCTTATTAACTTGTACATTATAAAGTTATCTATGGGCAATTATATGTGGATATACACTTTATGTGTGTTTTGGATTAGGACATAATTTTCTACATTAAGGTTCTTTTGAGCCTAGAAGATACTTAGCTGATTTATCATTCTTCTCCCATTTCCATTGGGCAATTACACATTGTATTTCTCATCATCATTTTACTAACAGTAATATTGATTTAGAAGTCACTTCCTTTGAACCCTATTATAAAACTCAGAAATCTAAACTTCCTAATAATAAATACTTTCGTTACTATATGGATGTATTTTTTGCTTTAGTAAGTACTATACAATTTTTATCCACCATATAACAACTGTTAAGAGGAGAAGAGAGAATAAGGAAAGAATACTTTATCCCAATTGTTGAATATTTAATACTATACTATTTTTGTGGGGATGCTTTGGAAGGATTTAAACTTTTTATGGTTATTTAATCCACTTCAAGTTATTTAACCCTCAAGTATTCATTAATTACTCATCATAATAACATTTGTTATACAGATGGATGTTCTATTGTCCCTTCTAGAGATTTTGGAATCTATACATTATAAACAAGTTAAGATCATGATCCATAAGTTATTTTCCCTTTTAATATGTTTATTTTTTAAGGGTTTAATTAACACACATTACATCATATGTTTCCTACTGTAGATGAATCAAGAATTCCAGAAATTCAACACTTTCTTTTGGAAACTATACAAGAATTCAAATTATAGCATATATATAAACAACGCACAGTTGGTGAATTATACAAGGCTCACAACGATTTTGTTTTTGGAAAATGATTATTTTAATTTAATATAAATTAAATATTATATTATTTATTAGCAAATAATATACCATAATTATAATTTATTAAGATGATTTGAATTAGTAAAATTATTCATATATACATTTATATTTCTTTAAATTTGATACTTTATTAACTAAAAACTATCAAAAATTTTGTTGAAAATAGATTATAGATTTATAAATATTAATCTAATTTTAATGTAAATACAACATAATAGTAATTAAGTTTTATTTTCAATAAACTTGATCTTATAATCAAAGTCAAGTTCCTCCTATTGTACTTTTTCTTATTGTAGACTTGAGGAAGCTTTGGAATAATAAAAATATAAATAATAAACTTTTTATATTTTCATATTTATAATTACATATGAAAATAATGTTTCATGCTTTAATATAAATATAAGACAGAAATTTAGAATCAAGATAAAAGAATTTTGAGATAATTAATTAGTATTACATATTTCTAAAGGGATTATGAGAATTAAAAAAGTGTAAGTGAATAATAAAATTATCTTTAATTCAAAAGATTGCAACCCAAAATGATAATTCAGTAATTTGATTCAATAAAATTTATTCAAATTAATCACAAGTATATCATGGTTTTTACAAAAATCTCAATAACAGTTTATAGGAATTAATTTTTTAATTGGCAAGAATTCCTCAGAAAAGGACTCTTAAGTTTAAGTTCATTGCAATCCATCCATAATTACAAGGGTATATAACTACAAGAGACTCAATTAGATTAGATTTGATAGCTATAGAAATAATTTACTCTTTATGATACGTCAATGGTTTTTCATTACGTAATTTTTTAGACATTAGATATTCAAAATTTATTTATATATTATAATCATTTAATGAATCTGCAGATCAATTTATCCTTGTTAGTAATCTTCATTCAATATGTTATGGCAAATTGGAGACTAGTTGATTACAGTTTTACAGAAAAACTCATATCTACTAATAATTGGGAAATGAAAGAATGTTGTTCTAGTGGTTCTTCAAATATAGGGGTTGATATAAATAGTTGTGCTTCAAATTAATTAGAATATGTAAGATTGTCAAAGTTTAAACGATATTTATAAAAATCATTTGCATATAAAAGCTTTTAGGTATAAATAATTTTTGATGCTTTCTTTGATGGTGCAATAAGTGAGAATTCAGAGATTGCAGTTATGTATGATAGTAACAGAAGTTCAGATAATGATAGGCAGCTATTTCTTTTAGATTATGATTAAAATGACTTAAACTAAAATAGTCGTCTAATTTGTCATTCTAGCACAGGAAATTTTAAATTAGAAACTATTGTAAGTAATTAAGTCGATTCATACTCGAATAATTTTTCAATAAAAATTTGTTTTGATCCATATGATCATAGATGTGATGATGATTGTGATAGGGATCATCATTATAGTGATAGTTATTGTGATAATGATTATATATAAATTGGAATTAGAAATATGTTAGTTTATGTTAATACTTGTCACCCAACCTGTTTAACATGTAACGGTCCTACTGAATCAGATTGCCTGACATGTTTTGATAATAAAGTAGTATAAGTTGGAGAGTGTGAATGTATTGCAGAATAATAATTTTCTGAAACTTATATAGGTTGTTTATAAGAATGTAGTAGAGATTATTCAATAGCTCGCTTTGATAAAATTTGTGTAAAAGATACTCGAATAAAATCAAAGTTTACACTATTTGAAGATGATGTTATTCCTCAATCAGATTATAGATATTCTCCTTTTATTTTTGAAAAAGATGAATTTTATCCAAAAAACACAGATTTAATTTAAAATAATTGTAATGGAATCAGTTTTGTAGGAAAATTGTAATTTAGTGAAGGAATGATATATTAAATGAATCTTGAGAATGCTGTAAAGTTTATTAGAATTCGTATTACATTTTATTTGTTTAATTTTTTGGAAACAAGTAGCATTCAAATTATACATAATAATTAATTACAATCTAGAATAACAAAAGGTTCATCTGATTTTTAAGTAGAAAATTTATTAAAAATATTTGAAAAGAATTAAAATTGTGATAGTAGTAGTTATACTTTGTTAAGAATAGAGATGACTTTTTAACTATTTAATACTAATCCAATTATTTTGATTTAAGGATAACTTCAATAAGAAAGTGAATCTTGGGGATTTAGAAATGTTACTGTAGACACAGGATTTTGTTAAGAAAATTGTTTAGTATGTTCTGATTTCGCTACTTGTACATAGTGTGATTCAACATATAAATTATATAAAAATAAATGTGTTCAGTCTTGTCCTATTCATTCATCAAATTGTATTGACTATGAGGATATTATTCCATGTAAATTATTATTGTTTTATTTTTAGATTCTAGATACTTTGCAAAAGGATTTTATGATTTAAATATGACTATAGATGAAATAGATGAATTCTATGATTCTACAACAGATCCAAATCATAGTTTATCAACAAAATAAAAATTTTCATTTTTAAATAATAAAATAGTTTTGGGTGGTTTATTAGTTTGGAATGATGGTTCATATGTTAAAACATGGGTTCTTTCCAAACCTCATTATGCAGCATCTATATATTTTAATTTAACTTATGGTGATGGTTACACTGGATCCTTTTCTTATAAGATTGGTGCTTCTTCAAGTGTTGGATGGTAAGGACCTTTTACTAATCCTGGGGGAGGAATAAATTTAGTTGGTCGTACTGGTCTTGAAAGTACTCGTTATTTCAACGTAAGTTTAACAAACTTTTATACTAACAATCTTTATGTGGAATTTAACTGTGATGTTATTACTGCAAATTTAACAAAGGAATTTTGTGCAATATCTGAATACTTCATTGTTATTCATTATGTATATAATATGTATTATTATAATTTAGTGTCCTCCTCTTTGCTCTAGTTGTACAAGTTTAACTTCATGTTCAGATCCAGGATATACTGGTCCTAATTGTGGGAGTAGTTAATATTTAGATTTTGATGAATAGACTGAAACTTATAGTTGCAAAAATTGTAATTAACCTGGATGTAATACATGTACAAGAGCAGAATAATGCACTTCATGTGTTAGTAATTTATTTTATTTGAGTAATGGAATTTGTTTATGCAATCCATTTACATTTTTCTAAGTAAATACTTGTGTTTAATGCAATAAGTATTGTGAAAATTGTTTTGGTAATTCTAAATAGAATTGCCTTACTTGTGTAAATGATTATCATAGAGGTATTCAAAGAAATTAATGTTTATGTTTGCCTGGATATTATGATGACGGAATAAATTTACCATGTCTTCCTATTTGTGGAGATTAAATAATAGTAGAAGAAGAAGATTGCGATGATGGAAATAATAATCCATTTGATGGTTGCCATAATTGTAAATTCGCTTGTAATTTTGCATGTGATATTTGTATTAATGGAAAATGTTATTTATGTAAAA